CTTTTTATTTAGGGTTCTTTTACCCATGACCTTACAGTCATGTCCACCCTTATTCTTCCATTTTTTACTCACGGTGTCCTTTCGAGTTTTCATTGTGTTTGGGTTTTTATTTTCACGGAACTCTCTTACTCATGGTTTTGTGACCATGCCCGTCCGTCATTTTTACTCATGGCGTTCCCTTGTCTAGGTATACACCATGCCCGAAAATATTACGACCTCGGCCTGTTAACCTCAGCGTCTTGAATTAAGGTCCAGCTTGACAGAGTCTATGAAGCATCCAAAACCAGCCCCATGTCTGACCGGGCCTTTTCCGTCCGGGCCGAAGAAGGCCATTTGCACCGTGGCCGTTCGGTTTGAATGACACAATTGCCTGTGGGGAAACTCCCTAAGGACCTTTCCGGCTTATGTTGTCGCGTACAACTTTCAAGGGTATTTTTGGTACAAGCTCCCCTCTCTCTCTCTTCCTCTTGTGCTCGGCAGAGCTTGCACGGGCATTTTCAGTCCAAACGCTCTCTCTCACTTCTATCTTTATCAGTAGCCTGCCCGAAGCCATGCTTTCAGGTGACATTCCTCCCAACCAAACCATCTATGTCAGAAACCTCAATGAGAAAGTGAAGAAAGAAGGTAACCCTACCTGCTTTTCTCTGTATAATCTTCTGCTCTTCATATAGTTGTTTTTCTTTTTCCTCAATGCTCTTTTCATTTTTCCTAAACCCATAGCGTTGTTCTTGTTGCAGTTCAACTTTAAAGACCCTTTGTTCTCCCTATTCTTAATAAGATCTTTATCTGCGAAGATGTGGTTTGTTAGGTTTTACATAAACTAGAAATTTGTTTTACATAAGCTAGAAATTTTCAATTGAAAGTATTTGGGGGCAAACAAAAAAAAAAAACAATAATGATCTTAGAGATATTGGTAGCTTGACGACCTGGTTTTACCTTATGGAGTTTCTGTCTGTAATGCGTTTTAGTTGGCGAAGCTTGTTGATGCGAGCTACCTTCAAATTCAAAGTGTGAAATTAGTCTTGGCATGGTATTTGGTTACTCCCAATTGTTTTGTTCTTTGTTATTGGGGTACTCTGAAGTTACGGGGAGAATACGTTCTTATGGGCTTTCAGATAATAACTGTTATACTATTAAATTAGAACTTGATACAACCAGAGATGTATACAAAGGACATGGAAATGTAATCAAAACAATTAATTCGTGGGTACTGAACATTTAGTTCTTTGGTTGCTTATTTGAGGGTGAATTGGAAAGTTGTCCCTTTTGCATGACTGAGGTAGAAGCTCTCCAACCCAAGATCCATGCTTGACTAGCTTCGTGTTTGGCCCCTTTAACCATATGTAACAAGTATCCATCTACCACCTAGGCAATTATGAGGAAATGTTTTGAGGCCACAATTTAGCTGCTATCAAAATTAAGCTCAGGAGATGAATTGGAGCATGCTTTCAGAAAATGTTCCTCTTGAGCTTCCACCATTCAGCATGAAAATTGAAATATAAACCACTTTCCGTAATTTCTTATAATTCTATTGAGTCCACAAAATCTTAAATTCTATTGAGTCCACAAAACTCCTCTTAGACCATAGTCTTAATGATAGAATCATATTTAACGTGATCTCTAACATACCCCAGATAGTATTTTTAATGTAGATCTCCACAAGGGTGAACCTCTTTGGTGGAGAACATGGGATCTCAAATAATATTTAAAAGAATATATGGACCATTTCTCTAAGGACATGGGCAGCTTGTTTCTGAACCTCTTTAGTACTACCATGCTAGTTGGGCCATGAGAAGACAGTCCATATACTCTTTGAAATATTCCAATATGTATATATCATATGTGGGAACTAAAGCCCCTGGTGCCAAAGATGGTTATCAGCGAGAGCCTAGTGCATAGTCAGCATCCATCTGAAAGCGATAGCTAGTGGTGGGCCTAGGATGCCCCATGAGCTGGGGTTATGCATTATAAAGACACGGTTGAGAAGATTTTCACCCTTGTTGGCTTCCATTTAGCTATTGATGCACGATTATTTGTTCCTCAGCCACATGTTCCCCAAGCCCCCAAATTCCATAGGTTAAAAGACATCTTACCCTTCTTACCAAGTGAGACTTGCATTCTTTACTTTTGCCTTGCCCCAAAAACTCATTTGATGCAGACCATTTTTTAAAGGCATAGACTTTCACCTGGATAAACATTTGAGGAGATTTAAAGCTTAAATCAAATATCTCTTCGTGATCTATGGATCTTATCTCTATGGGTTTTTAGTAGTCAAATGTTTTGGGCTTCAAATCCTAGTTGAAAGTCTGCTGAAATGATTAATTGCAGATTTTAGAATTAATTAAGTCGAGGTTTAATTTAATTGGGAATGTTAGAATCATCTATAATTTGTAGTAAGATATTCTTCTTCCCAGTTGGGATAAGACTCGGATGATGATGATGATATTCTTCTTCCCGAACTTGCAAATAAAAACTTGCAAATTTAATTAGCACCCTTCTTATCCTCGCCTTCCTTGTTGGACTGAGAAATTCCTTCAATCTCTGACCCATTTAGAAACCTTAAAGCCTGCATAAACCTTACCTTAACCCAACAAAAGCCTTCCATAATGCTGATGCTTGTCCTACTCCATTTAGACCTCATATCATACAATTCTACCCCAATTAGGAAACCTTCATAAGGCCATAAAGGCCCGCTGTCCTAATCTCTGTAGGGACTCAATCCCTTTTAAGACTTCTAAAATCTATTCGAATTAGAGCTCTCAATTGTACCTAAACCCTTTCTCTCTGTGTACACACGTGTTACACTCATGTAGGAGCCAAACTCCCTTGGTCTTACGTCGTGATTGTTTAGTCCTCTCCAACTTGGCTGCCTCAGCAGGAATTAGCTTTTTCCAAAGGGGTTGGCCTTCTCTAGTGCTTCTGAATGACAAGCACTAGAACCCCTTATTCAATTTTCCCATGCATAAGCGGAGCCCAAGGTAGGAAGTTAGGAACTAGGTATCACCTCCACCTTATACCCAGTCCAAGAGGTAAAAAGTTCCAAGAATTAACATTCATATGGAATAAGGGAATAAGTGGATTTAAAACATATTCTCTCCTATCTAATGTTGCTAGGACTCCCTATGGGAATAAAGATCATTACTTTTAGTAACCAGCTGATTCTCATATTAAAAAATGCTTGGAGTTCTTTATTCTTAGGATCATGCTTGGGAATTGCTTGTTTTAATGTTGCATATAAGAATCCTAGAGCATTTTATGGATTCATAGTTCTTCTTTAAGAAGCAAATCTTTTATTTTTTGAAGTAGGGAAACTTGGTTTATTATTCTTTAACATCCATGCTGTTATTATATCTTTTGAATTTTCTGCGAAGTGTTTAAAGACATGAAGGGAAAACCTTTTAGATCTCTGCAATGAAAATAAGTTTTACACATATTTGATGTTTTAGTCTTAGTCTATAGGTTTATGATATTAAAAGATGTGTATTATTACCACTGATGCCTATTATATATGCCCATTTTTCACTTTTTACCACTGACCAGATATATTTCCTGTATCAAAACCCATAATCTAGACATCATGTAGCAAATATTATTATGCTTTTTCATTTATGAAAACTTGTCAAGTCAAATGTGGGATTTGATTGAGATGATTTAAGGTCCCTACCAAGCCATGTGGCTAGGAAAAATCATAAGAACATTTAAAAAATTAAAAAATGTTTAAAAGGAGAGTCTTTGCTGAGTTGCACGAGACCAGGAGAGCCCTTTGTGAGACTCAACGAGTCTTGTTGGACTCACCAAGTCGACATAGAATGCGGTCAATGGGCAAGATTCACTAAAATACCAAGTCCCTCACGGGACAAGGTCTTTCATTGGACATACCATGTCCTGTGAGACTTGGCCAAGTCCCATTTTCAACTAGTTTTAGTTTAGCCCAAAAATTGGATTCATGTTCGCTCTCTTTCTCATATCCTCTCGTCCCCTGTTCATCCCTATCTATATATCCATGTTTTCTATCTAGTTTTGATTCTTATCCCCTGTTCATCCCTATCTATATATCCATGTTTTCTATCTAGTTTTGATTCTTACTTCATGTCTCTCTCCCTCTTACTCTCTCTCTCTCTCTCTCTCTCTCTCCTCCCTCCCCCTCCTCTCTCTCTACTACTACTAACTACTAGTAGTTATTTAATTAATTATCTCTGTGTCGTTGTCTCTATATATATGTCGTTGTGTAGACTACTACTACGTACGTAC